GTTGCCTGTCTACACTGGCATCTTGAGCAAAAACAGTTGCGCAAAAGGGCTTATTCCTGAGCTGGAGTGTCAGAGTTCTTGTGCAGGAAGCCCTGATTTCATACATTAGAACATCAGTTTACTTGATCAAGAACACGCGGCCAGTGTAGACAGGCAGCAAGTTTTTGCGCAAGAGCAGCCGCTTTTGCGCAAGATCGCGCCAGTGTAGACACAGCCTTAGTGTAACTAAAGTCTTAATTACATTCCTTTAAATCCCACCCTATGACCGTCTCTCCTTGCAGTTTACAATCCTGTTACTCATAGACTGAAATCCTCCCTCCCCCCCCCATTACCATCATCTACTAAATGTGATGTATTTAATTTTAAACTCTTTTATTGTAACTCAAGCTCTTCATTCCTTGAAACAGGAACACTAGCGCCTAACACATTCTGGACACTAATATAGCCTAATAGTCTCAGAGGGGTAGCTGTGTTCGTCTGTAACTTCAAAACAACAAGCAGTCCTATGGCACCTACACAGTATCCTAAACTCGAAATAAGCTATGCAATTTGCCCTACACAAATTGCATATCTTATTTTGAATCTATTTCAAAATAGCTTATTTTGAAACTTGGCATGTCTACACAGTGCCAAATTTCGAAATCAAAGAATCCTAGGGCTGAAAGAGACTCCAGGAGGTCATAGAGGCCAGCCCCCTACCCAAAGAAGGAACAACCCTAACTAAATCATCCCAGCCAGGGTGTTGTCAAGCTAGGACTTAAAAACCTCTAGGGATAGAGACTTCACCAGCTCACTAGGTAACCCATTCCAGTGCTTCACCACCCTCCTAGTGAAATAGTTTTTCCTAATATCCAACTTAGACCTCCCTCACTGTAACTTGAGACCATTGCTCCTTGTTCTGCCATCCCTCACTACTGAGAACAGCCTCTCTCCATCCTCTTTGGAACCTCCCTTCAGGAAGTTGAAGGCTGCTATCAAATCCCCCCTCACTCTTCTCTTTTGCAGACTAAATAATTCCAAATCCCTCAGCCTCTCCTTGTAGGTCATGCGCTCCAGCACCCTAATCATTTTGGTTGCCCTCCACTGGACCCTCTTTAATGTGTCCATATCCTTTGTATAGTGGGGGGCCCAGAACTGGATGCAATATTCCAGATGTGGCCTCACCAGTGCCAAATAAAGGGGCATAATCACTTCTCTAGATCTGCTGAAAATAACATGCTATTTCGAGACATCTCTTAACCCTCATGGAATGAGAGTTACCAGGATGCCAAAATAGCGTGCCCATTATTTCAAAAGATATTTTGAAATAACATGCGGCTTGTGTAGATGCAGGGTAGCTATTTCGGGATACCTCTGGTACCCTGAAATAGCAGTGTAGTGTAGATGTACCCTTAGAGACTAACAAATATATTATATCATGAGTTTTTGTGGGTAAAAGCCACTTCATCAGATGAGCTGGAGTGGAAATTACAGCACTGCCACCAACAGTATCAGCAGCATCTGCCTTCCCCCTGCCCCCATCCTGGCTTTTGTTGATGGAAACCTAGTGCAGATTAGTTTCCAACTCCTAGAGGGATTAAGTGGATAATCCAGGTACTAAATATGGTGCTAGTCCTTGAATAGATCTGTGCCATTTAAAAGAACAACTTTCACATGGGTGAGGGTGGAGGGGTGAGAGAAAATTCAAGCAGGGGGCATTTGAAAAGGAAAGGCAGATTATTGATTCCACTCTCCCAAAGCCTTGGCTAGCTAGTTACTGTTTGTCTTTGCTATGACTTTAGATAATTCTGCTGGAACTGCAGGCTCACTCACTCCGGTCCCCTCCACTCCAAACCACAATCCTGGATCTTACAAGTGCAAAATTATGTGATCAAATTGGTAATTAAAAGACTGATATCTTTTGTTCCCCTGGGAGCTGCAGTGATGTCACCACTGCAGCGTTTGTGAAGGATTTATCAAGAAAGAGGCAGGAGGGGAAAAAATCTGGAGAGACATGATCCAAGAGTGTAGAGACAAGGTGGGAAATCTTGAGTACTAGTTCTGGCTCTGCCAATGGCTCCTGCTCTGACCTGTAATTCCCCTCTTAGTTCCCCATCTGTAAATGGGAATTACCCACCTGGCAGGATAGATTTGCACTCCCCACTCTCCATTAATACAGCACCTGGGCACCCCTGTTTTTAAATAATTCTCACAATCTCTCCCCCCTCCCCCGAAGTAAGGAAGCACTATTAATTCCAGCTTACACTGGGGAACTGAGGCACAGGGAGGCTAAATATTTGGCCAGTGACACACAGGAAGTCTACAGCAGAGGAGGGATTCTAACCCAGCTCTCTCCATCCCCAGGCTGTTGCCTTGAGAACCCAACTATCAATTTTTGGGTTGGGCAGTAAAGTGTTGTGAATGTGAACAGTCTGTATGTTGCTTTCACCCTTAGTCAGGGAAAATTAAGAAGTGGTGAAAGGCAATTACATAAGACTGTGCAAGCGTCTGCTCATGTGTGGGAAGCTGGTGCAGCTCCAGATTCTCTCCATTGCTCTGTGTACCAGGGATTTGATAAGTCCAGCTCCATTGGGGCTTTTCTACTACTGGACTAATTTTCCACCACTGCTAGCATTGGGGCATTTCCACTGGTGGTAGCAATGACACAAGCTCTGCTGTAGGCTATCTGCCAATATTTTTAACCATTGTGTCCTCCAATCCTGTTCAGAACCGGTCTAGAGAACATGGGGTTTAAAGTGCCAGCAGTCACTACAGGTTGAACTTCTCTAGTCTGGCACCCTTAGGACCTTACCAGGGCCAAACCAGAGAATTTTCTGAACACGAGAGGTTAATATTGTCTAGCAGCATAACCAACACTTCCCCTGCTTACTGGGCCCCTAGAGTACATCTACACAGCAGAAATATTTTGGAATAACTGACATTATTTCAAAATAACAAAATGTGCATCTACACACACAGACAATATTTCGAAATAATGTCAAGCTGGAGCAGCTGAGGGGTAGGTGCAGGAGTCAAGGCAGGGGTGGGCAGCTCAGCGATAGGGAGGTATGTGCAGGAGTCAGGGCCGGAGGTTGTGGAGGATGGGAGGCTTAGGGGAAGGGTTTGAGAAGTGTGGGGGGAGGCTCAGAGCTGGGATTGCTAGATCCCCCTCATACCCTAATGTGTGGCCCTTCCTCATGCTGCGCTGCCAGCACCTCCAGCAGATCACCCTGAGCTCCACCAGGAAGTGCCCTCCAGCTGACCCAGGTGCTGGAAGAGGCCCCAGTTTCTGAGGTAGCAGAGCCAATCTTTGGCTTGGAGCAGGGTGCCCAGCTTCCTCTGCTGCTCCTGTGCCTGCAGCACCTTGGCGCTGAACTCAGCCACCCTGCCATGGGCCACACCAAAGTACCAAGCCAGGCGGGCCAGCAGCTCCGCTCCAGGGCCCTGTAGAAGCGCATGAACGCCACTCTGCAGAACTCAACCGGCAGCGATGCCTCCTCCTGAGTCTCCCATGGAGGCCAAGGGGACATGCAGCAGCTCAGCAGCTCCTCCATGGCCAGGCTTAGAGCCGCCAGGCCTGAGCCCAGGGAGGCGACAGTGCCTGCTTCTGCAAGGCTCACACAAGGTCTCATGATCCATCAGCATGGTGACACTGCTAGGCCACTTTGGCAGGATGCAGGGCCGGCAGAGCAGGTGCGGCGCAAGCAGGAAAGGGTCTACCCGACTCATGCTGGCCAACCTGCACCTCGCTGGAAGTTCTTGGCCAGTGGCCCCAGGCTCCTCACCACACCCAAAGTGCCTTAATGGGGGGTATGGCAGGGACTGCACATGTCTGGCTGCCAGATCCCATGAGTTGTCCAGGGAGGCAGCAGCACAGGGTAGGGGGTCAGAGGATGTTGCCGGGGGATACGGAGTAGCCTCTGTCTGCAGTGAGCCTGGGCCCACTTCAGGCAGAGGCTGCTTCATGGCAGCAGCCTCTGTCTGTGGGGGGACCGAGCTTCCCACGGACAGGGGCAGCTGTGGGAGAAGTTTCTGTCTGCAGCAAGCCTGGGCCACCACGGACAGAGGCTGCTTCACGGCAGCCTAGCCTCACTCCCTCCCCTCCCCCAGCAGCCTCTGTCTGTGGGGAGCTCGGACCCCCCATGGACAGGGGCTGCTGCCACCCTAAACTGCTGCCTCTGCATCACAGGCAACAGTGCGGGGTGGCAGGCAGCCAGTCTGCGAAGGGAGCTGGTTTTTAAACTAGCTCCCCTCACAGACTGGCTCCCGCTTGGCACCCCACCCTGCTGCCTGTGATAGAGAGACAGCAACTCAGGGTGGCAAGGGGCTCCCTAGGAGTGGGGTTGGAAGCGCACTGGCTGCTGGCCCCACCCCTGGGACTGTAGAACAGTCGACTAACCATTAAGAATTTATGAAATGAGTTGACTATTCCATTACCCGCTATCTAACATCCATAGTGGCAACAAGATATCTGTCACCATCATAATCACGAATGCTTTTGCTTCACACACTTCTTTGAGTTGTCCAAGCTGTGCAGAGCAAAATAGTAGAGGTGTCACAAACAGAACCCAGGTCCTTGTCACTCCAACAGCCATGCACTAATCACTTGACCATCCTGACCTGTTGACCTGATGCACTCCAGGACCTCCCCCCCTCCACCCACTCACCCACACACCATTACTATGTCTGAGTTTCCAGCCATAGCAGCAAGCTCCCAGTGAGGTGAAGGTTAGTAATTAACTCATATATCACAGGCCTGTTATCTACCTAAGTAACACAAACACAGACACCTTACACATGGGTTAAGAAGGTGTGATTTTTGTAATGGGACTGTTTCTGAACAGACAGGGAGTCCCTATTGGGGGCTTTCCTTCTGCAAAATATCCAGATGTTATTTACTTATATTCTATTGTTATCTTGAGGCCCTAACAAGGATCGGGCTCCATTGTGCTAGGTGCTGTACAAACACATGGTGAGTGACGGTCCCTGGGCCAAAGGGCTTACAGACAGACAGACAAGGGTGAGAGAAAGGCGTGATTATTTATCCCCCTTTTACAGAATGGGAGCAGAGGCACAAAGATGGGTGACTTACTCAAGGTCACAGAGGTGATGGCAGAGCCAAAAAATGAACCCAGATCTCCTGAGTCCCCAGAAGCATCTTCTCCAGAAGAGCAACCTTTCTCCCTAAGTAGTCCCTGCTCCTCAGCCTTATCCAAACCTAGGCCTACCTGACCCACCTACTTTGGTTTAACTGTGTTACTCAGGAGTGTGAAAAACCTACCCTCTTGAGCGACATAATTTCACTGACCTAACCCACTGTGTAGACAGCACTGTGTCAGCAGGAGAGCTTCTCCAGCTGGCATAGCTACCACCTCTCAGAGCATCTTTCCCAGAAGTGCTACAGCAGTGCAGCTATGCCAATGCAAGTCTCTAGGGCAGACCAGCCCTGCTGGCTCCAGGACTCTGCAGCTGCTGAATGTTTACTGGAGTCTGAAACCCACTTCTCTCCCCAGCCTGTCCTCTCTCCCCTGGGCTCACTTTGGAGGGTTCCCCCTTGATTACAGCCAGATCTCCCACTTGTTTCTCTTTGCCCCACTCACTTCCCCCTCTGAACTGTCTTCCCACCAAGAATAAATCCAGGGACTAAGGTCCCAACACGGGCACCCAGCCGTGGCTGCACCAGTGCTGATTCTTATTCAGCAAGAGTCCAGATTGCAGAGGTAGCCTCAGGGGTCATGGTGGGAAGGGCTGTCTGCTCTTCCCATCACGCTCGTTTGCTCCTACTCTCTTGATGCTGCCACATCCCTTGTTGCAGCTTTCCCATGTCATCCACCAGCACCTCCTCCTGGCCTCCCTTCGCCATGCACACCCGCAGCACCTCCAGTACTCGCTGGAGCCGCCGGTCCAGAGCCTCCAGGTGAGGCTCTGATAGGACTGGCGAGAGATGGTCTGAATCCATCGACTCCCGCATGATGTCACTGAGGCGGTACGGCTCCGTAGCAAGCAGCTGCAAGCGCAAGAATGTCGATTTCTTGATACTAAGAGTGGGGGTGGGAAGAAGAAAGAAAAGGGAGAAAATAAAAATCAACCATGTAAAGGACAGCCACGCCACCCTCTGAGATTCATGGAGTGATTTCCATCCTTAGCAATCCCAAAGCGCTTTGCAGACAGAAGATGCAGGGATCGCTCACCCACTGCTGATACTCAGACACCTGTGGGTAGGGGGCAGCAGCCACTCTTCTCCACGTGACAGAGATCCTGCAGTGTGTGTGTGTGTGTGTTGGGGGGGGAGATGGATCCAGTCACTCAAATCCAGACAGGGCCATTCCTGAACCAGAACAATCGGGGGTCCATTGATTCCTTCGAAAGCTACCCAGTCAGGGGTGGAGTGGGGCAGGAAGGAAGGGGCAAAGAGAGCCATTACCTGCAGCACTGCTGGAGAGGGGCCAGGATGGACATTTCATCGTGAGAATGTCTCCCAAATCTAAGAGGAACAAAAAGAGTGCCGGTTTCCTGGACGGGTCGGATGTACCCCTTATGGGCTGTGCAATATTGTCCATCCCACCTGCGCCAGAAACCTCAGCAGTAACATGTCAATGACATCACAAGCAGTGTCTGGGCCACCACAACATTCCCAGCATGTGCAAAGACTGGCCCCACCTCCACAGCCTCCTCATGGCCTCCCCGTGTGTGTGGTGTTCTCCAAATTTCCTGTCAGCAGGAGCCAATCTTCCATCCTTACCCTCGGCCGTTGTCCAGATGAAGCAGGAAGGTGTTGTTCCCAAACTTCTCAAAGGTCTCATAGTGGTGTCGGTCCATATTACCTGCAGAGGGGAGAGGAGAACAGTGTTAGGGAAGGACAAAGGTAAACAATCTACTTCAAGCACACCCTGAGCTCAAGAGATTGAGTAGGAAAGAAGAATGATCCTAACAATCACCACTCAGGATGACAGAGCCACGAGCAATAATCAGCACTGGAGTTATCAACAATAGATCCTGTCAGCCAAACTCTCCTGCTTTTTAGATAGAATTACAAAGTTAATGATTTAAGGGATGGGTCACAATTGGATCTTAGTAAAGCTTTGGATACTTTGGCTCATAGATTCTGAAAATAGATGTCAATATCATTTTGGATATGCCACTATCCAGTAGACTGCAGTCTGAACGAAATACCTCAGAAAGACTCACAAGCAATGGCAATGCTGCGAGTTGGGAAGAGTAGCCTAAAGAAAGAAGCTGCAGAGATCAGTTTTGGAGCCATCTTATTTAACATCCAGGAAGAAGGATTGAATGGCATGTTAAAGACTTTTGCAGCTAGTACTAAACTGGAAGGAGCTGCAAACCCCAGTGAGGAGAGAAAAGTAACAGAAGTGACTTAGGGGCTTATCTACACATAACAACTGTACTGCTTTAACTATATTGCTATGGATAAATCAGCCATGATTCCTGAACCCACACAAGGAATTGCCATGAGACACATTTAGACTTCACTCTAATTAAAGCAAAAGCTGTAGAATAAGATATTACTCTGAGCAAGGATTTTGACAGAATTGTACCAGCATTGGGTTGGACTGATTGACACAGAGCCCCAAAGAGAACAGATCAGATTTTGCTGGACATGCTCAGGACCCTCACAATCCAATTTTGTTTGCACCTGGAGTCATCTGCTCAAGCATACAATTTGAAGCAGATCACGTCCTCACACTGTTTTTCCATGCCCTGCTGACAGATTTATCGACAGCAGCATCCAGATTGAACTGTGACCTCACCTGCAGTGACCTCAAGAGAGGCAAGATCTGATGGGATTTACTGCTTGAAAACATGAATTCAGAGGTAATACTGGAAGCAGAAAAGCAGCAGACACTGGATCTGCTTGTCTCTGTGTACCAAAATTTAGTCTAACTGAAAACTTACTATGGCAGAATTCTAAGAATGTAAGGTATTGTAAGCAGCAAGGGAAAATAAACTACAGGAGAACTAAATAGCTAGCCATGATAACAGAGATAAGCGGATAAGTCATAGGGATCAGACTGATAATCAAGTCCAGTCTCCTCCCTTTAGCAGTGGCCAATGCAATACACTTCAGAGGAAAATATAACACTTGCTTAATGGACAATTTATCCAATAATATGCCTATGTGGGGTAAGAAATAAAATAATGGGTAAGATCTCCAAAGTCCCTTGCAAGACAATGCTGAGGTATCAAGCAAGGAGATATCAGGAACATAAATGTATTCCAAACTACAGAAAGAAGAGTCAAGAAGAAAAATGATGACTGCTATTCCAGTATGTCGTCAGAACGTAAAGAAGGATGCAGGAAAGGGCCAGCACCAGAGGGTGAACACTGGCTAGCACAGTAACGTGCCAAGATTTAAAAATGCAATGATTAGTGATTTGGGGTCCCTGATCTGGGACAACTTACAAGGCTTGATTTGCAGAGAGCCAGTACTCAAAGCCTTTTGACAATCACATCACTTTAAGATGTATCAAATTGGGCATCTAAAATCACTCAACACTTTTGAAAGTCTTGGCCATAGTTCCACATTTACTTCAGAGGAAGAAAATCAGAGAAAGAGGGAGAGAGAGGGGCACTGTCTGTTACAAACCCCCTAACATTTGGGAAATCAGCATTCAGACATCTGCTTCAGTGAACAACCTTGAACTTTGGGGTCAGAGAACAGAAGTGTTTGCAAACATAGATAACAATACTAAAGGAAGGGTCAAAGCAAGAAAATGACCTGCAGAGAAACAGGAAACTCCTAGAGAGTGAGTGAAGTTGCTATGTTCAGCAATACCTAGATAAGTCTTATTGCTGTACTACAGCATGCCCAGTTAATCCATCTGATGGTATTTGATAGGGTACAGCCTGAACTAAATCCAGGAAAGAAAGAGGCAAATAAGTAGTAAAATGAAAATGGAGAAGGGGCTGAAAAGAAGAGATTACTGATGGCAAATCTAAGACATTGATTTAGAAGTCTAAGTTGGGAGGAGGGGAGTTGGAGAGGATCAGTTTGTCCCCAGCATGAAACTGAGATGGAAGGTCTCTAACTGTTCTCACTATAACAATCCAGGGCTACCTGAAAGCTGTTAACGGATAATAGCCATAAATGGAGCAGAAGTAAGTCCAATGGCACAAGCATCAAATCAGTCTGTTTGCATCAGTGACAAAAGATAGTGGAAAACTGAAACTATCCAAGTTATGTAACCAATTAAAGAAACTGGAACTCAGCAGAGACAACAGACAAACAGTGATCAAAACATGCTGTTCAGATCCTTAAGTGAGCAGAACATTGTAAACAGCACCAAGGCAGGGCACTGGAAAATCTGTCCATAGCAAAGAAGGGTATGAAACAGGAGGAGCAGAAATGAAAGTGGTGGTGGGGGAAACACCGATACCATTAGCCAGTGACAGGGCAATAGACATCATTGTCCTTCAACTGAATGCACCTGTGCAGCAAATGCAAAAAAACTTCAGCAAAGGTAATGTAGATCCTACTGTTCCACCACCTGGAGATAAGTTAAAATCATCAATCACCCTGTGTAAGAGCACAAGACATACAGGCCACAGAGATTTACATCCCACATGGCCCCACTGAAGTAAACATAAGTTCTTCTCCCATTCTAGGGCAGGCATTCGGAACACAGCCAGCCAACTGGCCTTTATTCCTGGTTTCAGTCATCTAAGGTGAGGTTACAAAAGAGCATGTCCCTGTCATGTGGCAGTGGTCAGGATGCACTGACTCTGGATGTCTACACAGCAAATCAAACCCTGCAGCTCACCCGAGCTAGCTAACTTGGGGCTGGGCTGTTTCATTCAGACTTCTGGACTTGGGCCAGAGTCTGAACTCTGGGATCCACCCACCCTGCAGAGTCCTAGAACCCCGGCTCCAGCCCAACCCTGGAAATCTATACAGCAATGAAACAGGCCCTCAGCCTAGCCCTGTGAGCCCAATTTGGCTGGCATGGGCCAACCACAGGTTTTTTTCTTCTGTGTAGACATACACTCTGGCTGTGTCTACATTGGCACCCCTTTCCAGAAAAGGGACACTAATGAGACCAGTCGGAATTGCAAATGCCGCGGGGGATTTAAATATCTCCCGCGGCATTTGCATGAACATGGCTGCCGCTTTTTTCCGGCTCGGGGTTTTGCCGGAGAAAAGCGCCAGTCTAGACGGGATCTTGTGGAAAATAAGCCCTTTTCCGGAAGATCCCTTATTCCTACTTTCAAAGGAAGTAGGAATAAGGGATCTT